ATATAACTTGACAGAGTCATGGCGTTTTGTAATTTTGAAAAAAAATCTATTTTTTATCAAATATATACAAATGCAAGTATTTACTTTAAACCATGTGCTCAAACCTAATGTATGTTCGTTTAAAATATGAGACATTGGTAACAAAAAAGGCTGGTTACAAAATTTGTAAACAATTTATTTGCACCACCTGGATCGAACTGACCCCTAACTCAATTCAGAGGATTCAAGTTATTAACCTTTCAAATATGTAAGATATCAGCTAGTAAGCCAATACATGTATGTGGAAATCTAGTATTTGCACCATTGTCCTTGACCAATTAACCCTTACTTCAATCTAATTAAAGAATATCATGCACGTGATCTTCCTACCAAATATGAAATACATCTGTCAGTAAGTAAAGGCTGTATGGGCAAAAGTGTAAAACATATTTTCAGCACTGGTAACCATGACTCAACTGACTTCTTACTCCATCTTAAGTTAGAGTACCATGCAAGTTATCTTCCTACCTTTCTTTCTGTACCAACTATGAAATAAATCTGTCAAAAAATAAAGGCTGTATGGGGTAAGTGTAAAATATATTTTAGCACTCTGGTGACCTCGACCAAACGGACCCCTAACTCCATACAAAGGAAGAATATCATGCAAGTTATCTTCCTACCAAATATGAAATACATCTGTCAATCAACATAGGCTGTAAGAGCAAAAGATAAAAAATCTATGACTAGCACAAGTGACCTTGACCTAAAAATATCATCTGAATCAGAAGAAAGAATATCATGCAAGTTATCTTCCTACTAAATTTGAAATACATCTGTCAATAAATAAAGGCTGACTGAGCAAAACTGTTAAATATCTACTTTTAGAATAGGTGACCTTGATTAAACTGACCCTTAAGTCAATCTTAAGTAAGAACAACATGCAAGTTATCTTTCTTTTAAAAATGAAACATATATGTAAATAAATAAAGGCTGTATGAACAAGAGTGTAAATATCTATATTTTGCACTAGTGACCTTGAATCAACTGGCCCCTTACTCAATCTTATGGAAAAATTCCATGCACGTTATCTTCCCATCAAATATGAAATATATCTGCGATTACATAAAGGCAGTATGAGCAAAGGTTTAATAACAATATTTTTCTAGCATTGGTGACCTTGCCAAAACTGACCCCTAACTTCATCCAAAGGAAAACAAAACAGTTTTATATTCATATCAAACATAGATTACATATATACCTGTAAATGTGTAAATAGTCTATTTTTGACATTGGCAATTGTGACATTGGTGCTTTCAATCTCGACCAAAATGACCATTTACTTTACCTTAAGAAGGAGAAACTCCCTTGCCACGGTTATATTAAACTTGAAAGATATCAACTTGAAAATAAATATTGTATGAGCAGAATAGTCTAAATTTATTTCTTACAACATTGATATTGACCTTGATCCTTGAGACGCATATCACCACAACAAGTGAGAGGACCATTTGAGGTATCCACATACAACAAATTAAAGATATCATTGAATAAATTAGGAAAACCTTTTAATAAAACCAATTTGTAGAACAAGATTTAGCAGGCAAAGTGAAAAAGAGAGGTTACTGGGAATTTAAAGCCTGAAGAGCCTATTGACTTACGACAGAGCTGCAGATAATTTGTAAAGCAATTAGTTTAATTTTCTTGATTTTTCCACTACCAAATTTCAAATTCAATTATATTTTTTCTTTATTTTTTTCAATAAGTGTTTAAATAAGTTTAATTTTTCTGCAATAACTTTCTGTAATCATGGTACTGTTAATTACGTTTTTCCCATACTAGAAACGAGGACATTGATATTGACACAGAATCACTTCCACGCACAATTTTATATTTCGATGTATGCGTTCTTTTTACAAAACTTAGCAAATTAAACAATATGCTGTCTGCCTACTTTTTCCGCTCGCTTCGAAATTATTTCCACATTTATTTCTTAAAGGGAAATTACTTTATGCACTTGATGAAACTGTGCATAAGCGGTGTCGTAGACCGTAATCACTCTGATAAAATATACAAAAGTAAATAGAAGAAATCATTCGTGTTGGGTTTCGAGTTTATACAAATTGAAATAAAATCAATTTATATTGTTTACAATACCAAACATGATAATGCACATACGAAGTAATATAATCTAACTAAAACATATTATTTCAAAGCACAAACCATGCAAACAGTAAACTCTACAAGGAATTATTAAGTGTCGCTCGTGTTTATAAATAATGGACACGTGCCGAAAAGATTGGGCCATACGCCATGTAATGGATGCACATTTATATAAATTAGAAATGTCCTGTACTTTTTATTGATCAGTAAGTGTGAAAATTATGAAGCCATTGGTATAGATAGAACTTTAGATATATCCAATTTGCCGATTAAGTTAAACAATTATTCTTGTGCTTGCTTCGTAGGCCAATATCTTGGTAAATATGGAAGCCATAGTTATGTAACTTGTCCAGATTATGTACATTTTATTGATTAGTAAGTGTGAAAACTATAAAGCGATTTGTAAAGGTAAAGCTTAAGAACAATTAAACTTGCCGTTCTAGGTTTACATCGTACGGACGGACAGACGGACGGTTTGATTTCTATATTACCAGGGGCATAAACATAATAAAAACTAGACGCGTATTGATATTTGACCTTGAAGTCAATGTCATTGCTAAATAAAGTTCAAGATTAGTCTGGTTTTCTTGGAGCCTTGTCCCTACGGTTGTTGTGGCCATGTATAAAAAAAATACACCAATAACTTAAAAACGTATGATCAAGATACAAGTATGCGGACGGCAACAGCAACGTAAACGGCTACATGAACGACAACCGCAAAGCCGACATGACTGTAACAATGCCTTTTTTTTTAAAAAAATCGAGCTAAAAACGGGACAAAGCTTATGTACCGTAACCTATTGTTCCCCTTGTCACACAAGAACCTCTGTTTTTTGTACAGATCGAAAGACAGACATATTTGTTTTAATCACTGATCTAATAAGCATTGATCCTTTTTGTGTAAGATGACTTTAAAATGTAACTTTTAAGAGCAAAGTAAAATTATACATTAATCTCACTTATTGTTATTCTTTTTACAAATGGACGGTTAAAGGGAGACACAGGCAAACATTTCATTTCTTTATTTTAATTTTTTCATTATTTAATCTGTAAATGTCCTCAAATAAATACACCAGACACATGTCCTGGAACAAAACTTTACTATTTATATGAAATAAAATGCTTGTTTCCTAACTTAGTTTAGAGCTTAAAGATTTCACAAGAGTTGTCACAGTGAACTCTGGAAACGTTATCAAAATCATTCTTTCATTCATGGTGGGGATGATGCATCGCAAGTATATATAAGAGGTCTCGCAGTGTTGAGTGTTTAGGTTTGGTTTTGGCTCCGTACGGTTAGAATCGAAGTTGTAATTACACCTTAGATAGCTGGTGCTAAAATACTTCATTGCTACAGTAAAACCTCTTAAGTAAATGTTTGATATGGAATAGTTTATTTCGAAGATAGTATTTTAAGGATATACATTTGAACGTTGATTATGAGGGTATAGTATTAAGATAAGGGTTCTTTGTTTTAAATTTTTGAAGTGTGAAATAAGTGATAGGTTTAAGAATATAAGTTATTGTTTGAAAATATGTTGTTTAATTGTTTCTTAAAATATATAATTCGGATAATTTAGGAATTAGTTTTAAGATTGTTATTTTTCATTTTATTATTTCTAGAAGTTTTATTAAGTTGATAATGAAACGTTTAAGAATCCACAAGAAAAAATAGTATTGAAATCTTTCAAATCAATTCGGATCAGCATCCCAATTAAAAAATATATATATTATTTAATGATATCAAAATTTTATTTTGTAGCACTAAATAAATAATCATCTGATCTGTACACGTTATATCTGTTATTGTAATTTCCAGGGTTTTTTCAAGTCACATGACTTGTTTAAAAACTACTCGGTGATTCTGTCAACATATATAGAGTGATATATAGATAATGCGTTCCAGAATATAAAAGGAAATTCCAGATGTCCTTTTTCCGGGGGTCGACATACAGGCTCTTTTTCAGGAACAAATTTAAATGCAGAGAGAGAGATTTGACATAGAGGAACAATTCTCCTATCTTTTAAACCTCAGACGAAACGCATTGTACCTGTCCGTCTTGCGGATAGTAGTCCTCTATCTTTTTAAATGGATTTATTTTCGAAAGATAATGATGAAAAATGTTGTTCGGAGTTATTTGATTAATACATGTATACATAGAAGAATATATTTCTTATCCTCTTAAAATGGTAAGCAATGCTGTCATTTTGCAGTTTATTCTCCGGAATCAGTATAAGTGTCCTCAAATTGTCTAGTACTGTTCAATAAAATGAATATACATGAAACGTTTTTCTCCACATTCCTCATGCGTTAGTATGGTCTATGCTATTTAAAATTGTTATTTAATATGTTGTAGAAAATACTTTCATGATATATGGTTTACACCTGTTTCAATGAAGAAGATATGATCAATGACAAAATGGAGTGTAGTAAAATAACGCAAACATTTGGTTTAATGGGACAATTCGTTTCTTTATTTAGAATTTTCCATCATACATCATATTGTTATAATGAAAATATATAGTAAATAGACAACAGAAATAAGAAGAAAAAAAAAACAGTTAAAAGCTATCTTACATTAACTATCACCTTTTTTTAGAAAAATAAAACTAGTGAAAAAATATAATTTTTATTGTGATAAATGAAATAAAAAGTAACAACAATAAACAAATAATAATAATAATAATAATAATAATAATAATAATAATAATAATAATAATAATGATAATAATAATAATACGAAGAAGAAGAAGAAGAAGAAGAAAAAAGAAGAAGAAGAATAAAACTTCACAGTTCATATAAATATCAAATACTGACATCAATTTTTTTTTTTCATTAAAAAATATTATATTTATTTGTCCGGATGTTATTAAAATGAGAAAAAATAATTTCATGTATAATATACTAAAATATAACTTACATTTACCTTTTTTCTCATTTTAATACTATGCTTAGAAATCTTAACGAAAATATCATATAACATTTTCCGCTTTAACAATATAACTGTTATATTTACCGGGATGTGTTTCCAAATTACCCATTACTTCAGTATGGGCAAAGAAAAGTTGTTTGAAGTGGGAGATAGGTGAAAGATAATCATCTTTGCTTTCTTAAAAAAATAAACATGTAATTTACTCGTAAAATACATGTATAGCATTTAATTTAGCATTTAATGATAGGAAGATTTTAAAGTTTTACTTATTTTTTAAATTAGTAATAAATAAACAAATAAAAAAAGGGATGAATAAATTAGTTAAGATAAGTAAATAACTATATGAATAAATAAATAAATAAATAAATAAATTAATTAATTAATTAAATTAATTAATTAATTTATTTATTTATTTATGTTTTAATTAATAGTAGATAATAAAACAATAATTAAACAAAAAGAACGAATTAATTAAATTGATTGATTAAAATGAATAAATAAAAAATACATAAATTATTGATGAAATATAAAGTAATTGAAATGTGATTAAAAACATCAAATTGTTAAAAAGTAATAAAAATGCTGTATATCAATATTATTTATATATGCAATAATGTGATTGATTGGTGTCATGAAAATCTATTGTTTTATTGCTGAGTGAATATCTTAATTATATAATAAATAAAAAATAAAATTCAACCAAAGTTTAATTTCAAAAGATTTTTATAGTAATATGACACATCTCTTTAACTGTTAATACTTTTGATATAGTATTCAAAATTATGCAGACATTTAACAGATAACTGTTAGCTATGCATGCATGTTCCAGAAGTGCCGATTCAATGTTCTAAAATATCTTTACTCAAAGAAGTTTCAAATCTTGTGAGCTATCATTAGAGGCTAATCGTACAATCTCTAGTTGTAAATTAATGTCCATTTTACTGACAGTCGATTTCACATTAATCATTCCTCTAGTAGTCAAGCCGCATAACGGAGAAATAATGTTAAACTTTTAGTTGACTAGTTACACAATTTGTGAGAATGTCTACACTATCAATAGAAAAAAGAATAAAGGCGTTTTAAAAATAATATGATAAAAATATACCTTTCTAACATTATGATAACTATTATGCGACACAAGTTAAACTTAAATAAATACAAACAGAGGAGACAATATGAATACATAACTGGAAATGAAACTATTATTTTCATCTAAAAACAAAAGTATCGTAAAAATATTAGGCCGTTTTCAACCAGGCTACATTGTTCTTACAATTATAATAATATTAAAAAGAATTTTTACTGATAAGCTTTATTTGATCGTTTTTCCCCATGTTAATTATGTGTTTTCTTTGTTTTTTTATTGTTTTTTTTTAATTATTTAACTTGCGATAAAAAATTATGCATAGAAAGATTTAAATTTTTAAGTTTCATGCATTGTTCCTGTAACAAACCCAAAATAAGACAAAGTTGAGGTTACTGTTACACAATCATCGAATTAATTGAAATACCGGTAACTAATAAATTATTTATGAAGAAGTCTGATCTCATATATAATTTTATAACTGATTATCGAAAATCGCATATAAAAATCAATTTGAACATTGTAACATGTTAAGGAAAAGATATGTTTCAAAGAAAGATATCGGGTGTTAAACGCTAGTATCAAAATTTTAAAAAGGTTAAAGGCCCAATATGTCTCTAAAATCCATAATTATTAAATTCTTTAGATATGACAAACATGTGTTCAATAATGTTTAAATCATAGATTTAGAGCATGGTATATTTTAACAGATGAGGAAAGTATCGCTTGATGTGCAGTAATGTGTCATAAAGGCAGGGAAATGTAAACAAAGTAATATTTTGACTTCCATACGAAAACTTATTCACAATAACCTTTTCAATCGCAAAATTGTTCTATATAGAAAATGAGTGAGCACTATTTTTAAGAAATCTTACAAGATACCAAAAATGTTTGAGAAATGAAACTAACAGCATTGTGAGGCATATAGTGACTTTAAGTTTTAATATCAAAGATTATGAAAAAAAACAGAAGTTTATGGCACAATATGTCTTAGAAATCAATAACTATTAAATATGGCGCAATATTATATTACACAGATCTGAAAGCACCTTTTGACAAATCATAATATTTATACATTTTCGGGAATCAAATTAAAAACAACGATAGTTGAAACATGATAAATTGAGAATACTAATATTAATTCAGCAACGTCAATGTTTAATGTTATACCTGATGTCTTCATAGCGCATTTAAAAGTGTTCACGGTTTTTCCGATGCATCACTCAAAACAACCATTATATTTTTTGCTACTCCTTATTTAACGCCGTTTTATATTAATATCCATTATACGTCCAATTGATTTGTTTTATATCAAATCACTTTTCTTTCTTCTGTTATCTGTAAAATAAAATGAACAATTTCATTGCATTTTTCCGTCATCAAATTCTTTACTTGCTTTAATGTAATAAAATAAATCAAACATTTATTCAATAGTTTTAAACGATTAAAATTTTATTTGGAAACTTATCACTCATTTTAGGACTGACAACATTTGCTTGTATCACATACTCAATATGATTTGTGTGTGATATGAGTCGTATAAATACATTTGACATACATAATGGGGTTTTCAAGTAGATGTAATTTTATTCATGTAATTAATTGCAAGGATTAATTTTGATATGTTACTTTTAATTTATGGACAAATTGGAACGAATAAAAAAAAATAGTGTTTGAAATTATTTTTGTCCAATAGGATTGCAGTGCTTCAAAGGAACACATTTACTTTGGTGAATCGGACACTGTTATTCAGTCCATTAAATCGACTGTTTGTAAAAAAATAGAAACGGCCGGTTAAAATCTATTAGTAAGTATTTACAAAAATAAATTGGCGCCGCGCCGGACCAATTTCTTTTTGTAGATACGTACAAATAAACTTTAACATATACTTAAGGATCATCATATTTAAGAAAAACAACCATTAACAATAAACTTCATAAGAATATATAAGAAATATTTTATAAAGTTTTATAACATGCGTTAAATTATTACGCTTGTTTAATTTTAAAGAATGTTTGTGTATGGTACAGTAAATGTAAAATTGAAATAATAATACGTTTAGAGCAATTGAATTACAACAATTTAAATTATCATTACACTTAATATGTTATGATTCGTAATTAAAATCCATGGCACACATTTGCATGACAATAAAAGAGAGGTACCTAAGCTAAAACCATAGGTAATACTTTTTTATTAAAGCCTTATGAAATAAAGGTATAAATTATGCGATGCTTAATACAATTAAGAAAAGGAAAATATTATAATCAATGTATTTGAAATATGAAAATGGTGAGATTATATATACCTGATTAATAAACAAATTACCAAGCACTTCCAGATCACCATTATGTACTTTTTTCTTGAAGATTCAGTAGCCATTTTTCATTGTTTGTTGTTTTTTGCTTATAAGTTCGTATCACTGTCATTCAGTGTTTAGTACACACTTAAACTTACTCATTTTACATAACACATATGTACTATTCCCTGAGACTATTTTCTATTAAACCGAAACCGTCTGGGCGGATTTTCTCTTCTACTCTAATTGAAATTTCCTCAACCTAGGGTCAATCTTCGGTTAAATCTGCGATTATAAAAATGCTGAATCCGTTTCAAAACGTGAAAATACCTAATGCATAGTCGTATAATAGATATTTTTTGTTAATGTCAAATATTATCAGATGTTTTATTTGTCTGTCTGTAATTTTAAATATACTTGAAATAATTAGACAAAAATCCTTTCGTAAATTATTATAATATTAAGCATAAAAGCGTGATTATTTTATTAAGATTAATAATGAATTTAAATTATGACATAGTAGAAAAACTTTCCATGTGTCCTAATTATAAAGTAGGAAAATACATAAATATAAGTGCAGAATTAACATCCTGTTAAGTTTAAATCTACATGCCTCCAGATAAGTCAAAATATTTCAATAAAAACAAACTTGAGAAAAATGTAATAAGATTTAAGGAAAATATAAAGGTTTAAGATGCCAGTAATATCTTATATAATTATTATGTGCGATTAAAGACCGAATTTTTAGTACTTACAACTTTATTTCTACTGCGTTACTAACGCAGTAAAAGCTATTCATACATATTTTGACCACATTTTGATAATTTTCGTAGTTTGAAAGTGCCATTGATAATGTGTAAATCGCGTCAATTAGGTTACTTCACAAAATTACACATTCAAATATATTTTCATGATTATTAGCATAAATAACATACCTAATTGGTGAGTACCTGTGGAAGATAATTGTACTATCTTATTCAATGTCTTGAAATGTGCTGGAAAAATTTAAGTATTTAATAAGTGTTCCAGACTCCGAATGTTGGTGCTGGTTTTAATTATCAGAGACCGGTTTAATATGTTTAGATAATTGTTTTGATTTCAATAAATCATGCCAACTGTCCAGCGCAGTGTTATTTTAGTGCGCTCTGGTCCCTGCCAAGACTAAGCGTTCCATAGTAATTAATGATCCCCATATTTAGAAAATGAAATTTTACTTTTATTTTCTTAGAGGGCGCTTCCTGCATTTTGGTTGGTCAAAACTGTCCCTAGAAATAATAATTATATGCAAATGCAAGATTTGCCGCCTTTCAAGGCGCAGTTGAAAATAAGATTTCGGAATGTGAAGTACAAATCTTGTGAATTTTTATTTATTAAGTTTCGGGCACAGATACCATTGTTCAGTAAGTTTATTTTTGTTTTTTATTTGCCTTCGTTCGGGAAAATTATTGTTTAAATAAGTTTTGTTCTAAAATAATTACATTTATTATTGTTAAGGTAAATACATTAACAATTTTATGTTAAGATAAATAAAACTGTATCCTAGTTAAAATTTTGATGTAAAAGTAAATAATCTGTAATTCTATCAATTAATGAATTTGTTAACATTACTAGCAGCAGGATTCCCACAGTATTTGTTAAGGATGAATTATATATGTGACTTGTTTATTTGTAAGTATGTATAAATTCTTTGTATGTTGTTTTATTTGTTATTAATGAAAGTATAACTGTTTAACTTTCAGATAACCGCTATCTACGCTATCTACGCTATATACGCTATCTACGCTATATACGCTATATACGTTAGATACACTATATACTCCTTAGACTATGTGTTTTTTCGGGAAAAAAAAAAAAGGGGAAAAAATTTTTAGCGCGTGAATTCCCATTTTTTTGTTGCCCAAATTTTATTTTGAAGCTCCCCCTTTTACAAACTGTGTCGTAGTTTTTCTTTGAATTTTTTGGTAAAAACATTTTAAGGGGAACCCACCTTTTATTCCCTTGTTCCCCTTTTTCAGCCCCCCAAAGGGTAATCTACACGGGTGTTCTTACAGTTTTTTTGAAATTTATAGTTCCCTAAATTTATTAACACCTTTGGTTTACCCCCACAGTTATTGAATTTAAAAATCTTTTAAACAAAAAGGGGGAAAATTTAAATTTGGAAAATTTAAACCGTATTTATTTGGATTATATTCGTAAAAATATTCCGTATCTTTTCAAAAGAGGGCCCAAGTAAAGGGAAACCCAAGCAACAAAAGCTGAAGGGGAAATATGAAAAGATTCGGGGGGAAAGGGAAGTTTGCAAAAAATTTCCTTTTTTGTAACATTTTTAGCCGACACCCCACCCCAAGGGCGGGGGGGCCAGAACTGCCCCTCCCTTAAAGCTGAAAAAAAAAAAACAAAAAAACAAAAGCGCGGAAGCGAGGAGGCTCCCCGGGGACTCGAAACTGCAGAGGGCCCCGGAAAACGAAGCTAAACTTGCGGGAAATTTTAAAAGACGAAGTTTTCCGATTGAAAAAGAGGAGTGCTTTTTCCTTCCCCAAACGAGCCACAACCAAATTTTTCGAGTTGAAAATTACGTGAAGGACTTACCTGACAATACAATTTGTGAAAATCTTTGTGATAATATACCATCAAGACAAATTTATTCTCAAAACGTGTATGGTTTACCTAAACCGGAGTTGATTAAATTTAGTGGGAATCCTGCTGATTATTGTAAATTCATCAGCAATTTTCGAAACCAATATCGAGGCAAGGGTAAGTGACAATAGATTAAAATTAAATTATTTAATTCAATTGTGTCAGGGTGAAGCAAAATATTGTATCGAAGATTGTGTAATTTTGTCTCCGGACGAAGGCTATTTAAGGGCTAAAGAAATCCTTAAATCTAGGTACGGTAAACCACATTTAGTGGCCCGGTCCCATGTAGATAGTTTAGTAAATGGCAGTGCCATAAAAAGTAATGACGTAAAGAGACTAATGAACCTGTCACTCCATATGGAGAAATGTCATATGACCTTGACACAGCTAGGTTTTATGTCCGATGTGAATAATACGGAAAACCTACGCAAAATAGTTAGGAGACTTCCACTTCACATTCGGTCCCAGTGGGTCGAACGTGCAAGTAGCCTGATAGAGCAGGGGCTCGAACCAAGTTTTAACCATCTTCTAACCTTTGTGAGGGAACGGTCAATTGTAGCCAATACAATGTACGGTCATGACCTTGCGAATGAGTCAAAACAAATAGTGAATTCGCAAAGAAAATTCCCACATAAACCCTCCTCAGCGTAATAAAGTAGTTTACACTGTCCACTGGCTCTGATAAGGGAAATTCAGGTAAATCTCCCTTAGAGAAATCCGCTAGGGACGATTATCATGTATTTATTGTAAAAAGGCCCATAAATTAAGGGCATGCGCAGAGTTTCGCTCCATTGATATTGATTCAAAGCTGAAGATTATCAGAGAGCATGAAATGTGTGAAAACTGTTGTATTTTCAAACATGTTGCCGAAAATTGTAGGCAAAATAATTTTTGTGAGGTTTCAGGTTGTACCGGAAAACATATTACAATGTTTCACCGAGATTCTAGTAAAATCAACAAATTTACAAATGTTGAGGATAAATATGTTGCGGCTTCCGAATCGAGGTGTAAACAAAACAAGGTAAGTTTACGCATAGTTCCTGTCGTCGTCGGAACGAAAACTATGCAAGTAGAAACGTATGCTCTCCTTGATGAAGGGAGCGATGTAACGCTTTGTAGCGATAGCCTTGTAAAAAGGCTTGGGGTTGAAAGTAAACCTTGTAAGTTCACGTTAACTACAGTGAACAAGTCTGGTCAAAATATAAATGGCAAAAGAAGTTAAACTACAGGTAAGTGCATTAAATGGGGGTCAGGTCATTGACCTTCAAAAGGTATGGTCTGTAAAAACCCTGCCTATATCCTTGCAGTCGTTGCCAGACCCCCTTTTTTTTGCAGGTAAGTTTAAAAAACCTTAATGGGAATTTAATTTTTCCCAAAAAAAGAAATTTTAAAAAAAGTTTTAGTTGCCTTTGGGGGAAACGCACCCCAAAACGCTTTTTGGGGGAGAAAGCAAGCGAAGGGGAATAAAAGGGGAGCCCCAGCAAATTTTGGTCAATATTGGCTTTGGGGTTTTTTTAGGAACCCAAAAAGTAAAAAGGAAACGGGCAAAAGAAAAAAGGAGATCAATTTTTTAGTTCGCCTTTTTAAATAAAACAGTTTTCAAATTTGATAAAGTTATTGGGGGAACCGGCTTTCCCCAAAAAATGTCAAGACTTTTGGCACGGGATGTCACAGGAAGACCGTTCCCTGCCCCTTTCAGTAATGAAAAAAAACAGTTAAAAAGGAAAAAAGGTCATTTTTAAAAATTGGGGGCTTCCCCTGGAGAAACCCAGAACGTAAAACTTCCAAATAAAAGTGAAGATGGTACGGTAAGACTATCTCATTTTTTGGAAAGCGAAAAATTCAAAGAGAATAAAAAGTTATTTTATAAAGGTTTTAAAGAAACCCTGAAAAGGGTTATTGAATTTAAAGGGTTTTTTCTTTTCCTTATTAGAAACCAGAACGGGATTCGAACCCGGGGTATTTGGTAATTTTACCCCATCATTCCCCGTTTTTTTAAACCCAAAAAAGCCGGGTAAGGTAAAAAAGTTTCTTTGGGCTGTGCTGCCCAAAATATCGAGGCACATCATTTGAATACAAAAACTGTTACAAGGGCCCCCACCTAAAATAAAAAGTTTTTTTACTGGCCCTACTTATTTCGATTCCGGTAAAGGGCCCCGAAATAGGGATTGGGGGGCGGAAAATTTGAACCCAAGTTTTTTTCCACGTAAGGAAATATGTGAGCATGATAGGGATTCTTTTTTAAAATTCCTTTTTGGGGGCCCAAAAGGGGGAACTTGAACGAGGAAACCCCAAAAGGAAATATCGTAAAGAACGTCCACTTGTTTTGGGGGCAAAATTTTGTCACCAATTTTTGCGGGGTTTTTTGTTTTTTTTTTTTTAAAACGCACGGCCAAAAAAAGAAAAAAAAATTTTATAAAAATTTAGTCCAAAAAAAAAGGGGGAAGTACGGTTTTTTTTCGTAATTTTCTAAAGGGTTTATTGGGCCTTCTTAAAATAATATTAACTAAATTCCCGGGAAAAATTTGAAAAACCCGGAAAAAATGGGAAAAAAACTTCTTTCTTTTTGGGGGGCTTCAGAATGGAAAAAAAGTGGCCCTCTAATTGTTTTTAAAATGGGCATGGGGGTTTTATTTCCCCGGGGAAACGGATTTTGAGTCCCGTTCCCAAAGGGGAAAAAAAAAAGACCTTGACAACAAAACGTTTTTTGTGAGCGAAAAACTTTGGGGTTAACCCGTTGGGAATTTTTAAGATTTGATTTATTTGTGGTTTTTTAAAAGTAAAAAACTTTTCCCCTTTACAAAGGACGGGCAAACGTCATTTTTCTTGTCGGGGTTTTCCAGTTTTATTGTATGATCCGCTTGGGGGGTTTTTTTGCACCAGTGAATTTTTTCACCAAAAAAATTTATTCTTTCAACCCTGCTTGTAGAAAAAAACCCCAGGGCCCGGGGACGAACAAAAATTTCCAAAAATGCGGGGGTTTCTTTAAAAAAAAGGGTTTCAGTGGGGTTTGCCCGCCCCCAAACCCGCCAAATATCGAAGGTAAGTATAGATAGATTGTATAATAACAAGGTGAGCTCGGACAGGTCACCTGAAAGCTGAACTACATATTTTAGTGATTCATCTGAGTATGCCTAATGGATCGAAGCGTGTACTTAACAGTGTATGACGCGAAGGGCACAGTAATGCAGTCTAGTTATAGGTAGTCTGGTTTAGCACCTATAAAGGCTATTTCGATACCAAGACTTCGACTTGGCAGCAGCTGTAGTTGCTGTAAAAACTGTATCAGATATGTCAATACGAAGGAGCTTGAGTCAAAATTACTGAAAGGTACTTTTGACGGACTCTATGATTGTGTTAGTTACAATAATG